AAAAAAAAAAAAAAAAAAAAAAAAAAAGAAAAATGTGATGTACTTAGCCTACAAATTTTAGGAAATTTCCCTTACTACTCTTGTTAGTTTGATTAAATATGTGTGTAATTTAAAAAAATGTAAACTGAATAATTATGTATTGAATCTATATATGTATTGAAAATGTAATTTGACATCACAGAGTACACTTAGTTCATGGCAATGCTTTCTCTGAAAGCAACTGCAGAAATTTACTCTCTCTTCTTTCTAGTTTGTAAGAACTCAGAGGCCACAGGGGAAAGGGAGTCCTTTGGATACCAGATAAGGCCTGAAGCAGATGTGGTTACAGTAATTTTAGTATAATTGATTGTAAGGTGCTGATCTCTAGGAACAGTCATCACAGTGGAGATACCTGAAAGCTCCCAGCAGCCAGCAAGGAATGAAAGGTGGGGGCGGGGCTGCCAACAGGGTGGGGGATAGTGAGCCAGGATCCTGGGCTCCCACATCACAATGGGGGTGGGGGCGCCTCGTGGAGGAGACTCTGCCTGATTGGTTCCTGGGCACCAGATTGGAACTCTGGTGGTTGGTAGGGCAACCTCCTTCAGTTGGTAGTAAGCAGTGGAAAGAGGAACTCCCTCTGTGCTGTCTTCTCCGCAATCTCCGCTCTCAGGCTTGTTGTACCTAGACCCATTTTAAATCAAGCAGGTTCCCTTCAGACCAGTAATCTCAGGGGAGCAGCTGAGGCAGGGAGTGAGCTGTTAGGGGGGTGCAGCCCCCTAGCCAGGGGCTGGCCCTGCCAGCGTGCCTGTGTTTGAAAGAGGTGAAGTGCTGAACTGCAGACTGGGAGGCAAGGGAAGGTCCAAGTTGCTGGAGAGGAGCCAAGGTGCCTCATGGGGAACACGCTGAGCTGTTGTTTGCGCCCCAAAGTCAGGCGCAGGCGAGGTCTGCGTAGGTGGCCTGAGGATCTGTCCTTCAGCTCTGACATCAATGAGGCGGTGGCAAGCAAAGGTGCAGGCCAAGACAGAAGGAACATGTCCAACACTAGTGCCAGACCCATTTGGGGCCCGAGCTGGCTGTGTGGGGTGGTGTCTGACAGCTGTGACATCTATGAGGCAGTGTCAAGCATAAGTGCAGAGCAAGGCAGAGAGGAGCAGAGGCCGAGCAGAGGGATCATGGTCCTCCCCAATGCCAGACCCAAGCAGAGCCAGCACAGAGTGCACTGGGCAGAACCGATCTGCAACTATGACATCAATGAGGGGGAGATGGTGGCGCCAGACCCTACTGCTGTGGAGCCTGCCCTGTGGGATTTGGGAGCCGGTGATGGCCATGACCTGCAGCACATCAGTGACCAAGAGATGCCAAAAGGTAAGGCAATGAATGACACTGTTTGCCCTCAGGCACACCTCTGGCTGACACTGATACCAGTTCTCACCCCTCCCCCCACCCCAGAGGCATCCACAGCCTGGGGCTCCTCCCTCCTGCCCCTAGCCAGCTTTCCCAGGCCCATGTACCAGGCAGGAGGACTGGCCCTGCCTCGTGCCTGCCCCCATCCTTCATTCTTTCTCCCTGCTGCATCTGGTGGTTTCTTTCCTCCTCCCTACCCCAATGCCCAGTTCTGGCCCCTTTCTCAACCCCAGGCTGGCCAAAAGCTACGTTTTCCAAATAGCCAGGAGTTTGAGCCTTCAGTGAGTTATGCTGGCTCCATCTCACCATTGCACCACTCCAGCCTGGGCAACAGAGCGAGACTTTGTCTGTTTAAAAAATTGTTTTTGCCCAAAACAGTTCTTTGTTTTAAGACATTTGAAATATTGAGCCGGTGTCTGACCACAGTAATTGACCACAGCATCTCTTACTGCTTGAGACTTTCCCTGAAATGTGCTGGTAATAGCAGCCTAGAGGAAGGTGGTTATATTTGATAAGTAGAGGGAGGAGGGCATATATGTGATTCATCTAAAAGTTGCATCCGTTTATTTAGGTGCAAGTTTGAGAAAGAAGTCCCAGCCCCAGCCTGGATTTATTCCACATGCATGGAGAGATTCTGTGATTTTTGCATTCTCCAGTAGAATTGGAACATTGGTGCCTTTATTTTCTTGACATTTATTACTGAAAGCTTTTCTCAAGACTGTTAAAAATGATTAAAATGGTTATGTAGCTTTAAAAAGAATCTTTTTTACTCACCTCACTTATGACATTGCGTCCTCTTCTTCCTCTACAGGTATTGCTTCTGACCATCCGAGGGCAAGCACACTCTTCCTGAGAAAGTATCAAATGAGTGGTAAGACAATATTGTTTCTGCCTTCAGGGAAAGCCTAAACATTTTCTGTCTTGTGTATTACAGAAAGTATTTAGAGAAACTCAGATATTAGTTTAAAATGTTCAACTTTTCTTAGATTTACTTGTCTTATTTTCATATGTGATATAATTTCTTTTAGTTGTCACTGTTTATGGAAACATACAGACTCTGTGTTTACCTATTTGGTGACATTTTTGCCAACACAATTAATTTGCCACATGATTTAGTGTAGTAGTCACAGATTTATGCCTTTTGCTTCATACGTCTTTGCCATTTTTCCCTTGCTCTAAAGAGTACGTTTTAATAATGAGTGTCAGGATTTAGGCCACAGCTTGGATTTCACTTGAGCAAATCAAAAGAATCCATTGTTCTAGATTGGATCTGTGATTTTGACCTCCTTTTTCACAGTGCTCTAACCACTGTCACATCCAAGTCGATGCTACAACTTTTTTATTGGAATGTAATAGAAACGTAACATGCCCTGTGCTGTTTTCCGTATTAGCCTTAGTGTGTGAAGCTAGTGTAAAGTTTCCATATCCTGCCTGTTTTAGGATGAGAATTAGAACTGTAGGATTTTTCTGTACTGTTGCTTATGTTTCATAATGTTCTGTTTTCTTACTTTATTTTCAAAAAAGCCATACACCATGTTTTTCAGTTAATTTTAACAACAACAATAGAAGAACTGGGGGTTTTTAATTGTTTAAATTAAAAAAATTTTTAATTGATTTTTTTATATAGTGATAATTGGATTTATCTTGTTTTATGTAGTGATGATCAGATGATTAGCAACTACTTTTATTCTATGGTATTTTACTATATCAGAATTGATTAGTTATATTTTTATTTTTAGTGCAAGGAAAGAGGAGAAGCTTTTGCCTGTATTCTGTAAGTAAGCTTTTGAAAAGTTAAGAAATTAATTGTTTAAATTAAAAGTCTATCTGCCATGATTCCTTAGAAATGTAACAGGGACCGAGTGCTGTTAGCATGATCCTTTTTTGGTGAATTTTCTAAATCTTTTCTGTTTTCCTAAGTGTCAGATTTATGCAGGAAAGTCTTTAACTTACTGTGCCCATTTTTAAGGCTGTCTGACATTTAAGTTAAATTTAAATAATTTGGTTGTGATATAAAGATCTGCCTTAAATATTTAATCTTTTAAAATCAAATAAAATTGAAGTCCATTTTCTTCAACACTTTCTGCTGACTCCATTTCAAAGCAGCTGAAAGCGTAGCATCCTCACTCCACTGCGACCTTGTTTCCCTCCCGTTTCTTCCACCTGTAACACATTTTTAATAAAATCACGAATTGATATTTACATGATTATGACTCTGCACATATTATTCACTGCTGAGTCATAATGTTCTGAGTGTGCCTCCTCCTTGTACATCATTCTTTCTCTTCAATATTTCTGAAACCTGAACACTTCTGCATTTCTCCCAGATAACCTCCCTTTTCCTAGCCCATGATGGCTCATAAAGCCAAATGTGACCACTAGCCTCCCGCTGGTCTCTTTGTTTTCACATCCTTCATTTTTGTGTGTGTGGAATTGATTTTCTGACTATGTTCCTTTGGCTCTCTAACAACTATTCTTCCCCAAGAGTTGTAACATTTGTCACATGTCTATCAAAAATATGTTTTATATACTAAAAAATACATTCCATGTTTTTTTCTTGAAGCAAGTTTCCTTGGCCTTTTGTTATCCTCCTCAGGATAGACTGTGTTTTCCTAGGCTGCCCTACACCTGTTGGCCTGGGAGCTCTCTCTGACATCTTCTGGGACCACTAATGTTGGGTCCCTGAGTCCTAGACTGTGCATTGCCCTCTGCCTTGCGTGACTCCCCAGTGGTGCTGGAGCGCAGTTTCTGAGGAAAGGCTCAGGTACACACATGTTTAGAGATCTGGGCTTTCTTAAAACCCCTCCTTTGACATAGAGTATAGAATTCTAGAGTGAAAACTAAGTGTCATGGCTTGAAGACATTTTTCTATTGCATTTTTATTATACTGTTTTTGAAAGTATTGCCATTGTGTGATACGTCATATGTAATCAATGTTTCCATCTGTCAAGTTTTAGGACCTTCTCTATCCCTGAGATTCTGAAATTGTATCACAGAGCTTCGTAGGGACCTTTTATTTTATTGTGGCCATTAAGTCTACAATAAAATTTAGAGAATTTTTCTGTGTGCTCTGTTTTATTATTATTATTTTAGTCTAATGATTCAGATGTTGGACCTCTTAGACCAGTATTTCTGCATTGGTCTGTAATTTCTTCACCTCTGATTTTCCAGTTTGTCTTTTGTTCTGTTTCTTAGAGATTCTTTGACTGTCCATGCTAACTGTTCTATTGAATTTTTAAAAATCTCCTTAAGGGTGTTTTAAGATTTTCAGAAAAGTTTTGCTCCTGAATTTTTACTGGTCCCAGGAACTCCTTATTCCTGTTGTTTTGATCTTGCATTGGAGGCTTTGCTCAATGTGTGGTGGTCTTTGGCTTTCTCTCATTGAAAGCAGGACCTTTTTTCACTGAGGGGTCTCACTGTAGGGATTTGGATGTCAAGGCAGCTTTTCCTTTGAGGGACATCAGTGTATTATATGAGGGAATGAGGGTATTTTGTTTGCCGTGGTTCAGTTTTCTTCCAAGAAGGGCCTCCCAATTTTCTGCCTGGGCAGTGCAAGCATGGCTGCTGGCTTTCCAGAAGCAGGGCTGGGAAGCAAGGTGGAGTTTCACTTTGTGTGTGCCATTTACTCCCATTTCCCAGGTTTCAGCCCTGGTAGGTCTGAGCTCAGAAACCTTCAGGTATAATATATCCAGAGAATATACATCCACTTTCCTTATAAGATGGGAGGACAGGTCGACCTGGGTTCTAACCACAGATTTACTATTGACCTTACCAGCTCTGTTGTATGTTTCACCCTACCTTCCCAGGTACCATGTGCTCTGATTTTAGAGACTGTGTTGGGTTCTTCAAAATACACAGGATTGCTTGTTTCTGTTCAAGTAACTCACTGTGGGCACCAGTGTTGTTCTTTCATGTCAGTTACCACTCCTCTATCTGCTTGTCACCTTGCGACATTGACTCAGAATCATCTGCTGTGGATCCTGTCTCCTGGTCCTGTGTATAATGTTTATTTTATGACTAATTCTCTTGAGATTTCAGAAGGAAGAGAAAATAAATTTGTGGTCAATCCATCATATTTAACTCAAATTTAGAACCTATATGTAAGTGTAAATCTAAGTTTAAATTGAACATAATTATGACATTAATTCAGACAATTTTCTAGTTATACCTATAATAAGCATATTACACTTTTCCACTCAGGCCTTGTGGAATAATTCTATTCAAACTCCATACCTGCCATGTGGTCCCATTGCTGTGCAACATAGATGGAGGTGATATTGTTAGGGCACAAAGTATTGGAAATTTTCAAGTTAGCTAAAAGTCATTAATTATTTTAAAAACATCTAAAACATGTCTTATAAAAAAGTGGGGAGAAAAAAGTGATCTTGAGGGCCGGGTGTGGTGGCTCATGCCTGTAATCCCAGCACTTTGGGAGGCTGAGGCAGGGGGATCTCTTGAGGCCAGGAGTTGGAGACCAGCCTGGCCAACATGGTGAAACCTCGTCTCTACTAAAAATACAAAAACTAGCCAGATGTGGTGGCACACGCCTGTAGTCCCAGCTACACGGGAGGCTGAGCCAGGAGAATTGCTTGAACTTGGAGGTGGAGGTCACAGTGAGTGATAGGAAATTTGAAATTAAAAAAATGGGGACAGATGTCACCTAAAGCTGTACCAACCAGTCTGGGTTTTGGTGCATTTTCCCTGTTATTTTTATTCTCATATATGGAATGTTCCTCAGAATTGACTTTTGTTATGTTAAAGTATTACGCTGCATTGCCCCTAATAGTAGTGACCTTAAGGGATACCTTCTTTCCCTTTGAGTGAAAGTATCTGAATGAGTCCATTTTTATTTTTTATGCCATATTTTTTTAGACAATAAAAGTATATACATTGACACACATACACTGTTAATGTAAACTATAACAGAATAGCTTAAGAAACATAAGAGTTTAGCTAGAGTTAAAACATTTGTATCTTAAAGGGTAATTTGGTCCTTCAAATAGTAATATTGTTCAAAAACATCTTGGATGTTCTTAAGAAAGAAGTGAATTTGCAGTAAAAGCATCTGAAGCAGCAAAATGCTGTTGGACTCTATGGATATTTCCGATTATTGGCTACTGGCAGTGTTCACATGCAGTGTAGTTTTATAAACAACCACTAGATCTTCTCCCTACTCTGCCTTTTTTTTTCATACTAGCTCATTAGTAGTAGATCCAAACCTGTTCTGTCTTTAATGTGTTTGCGAGAGACCCTGATGGAAGAGTGTGATAACATGATGCAAACAGGCTTATTAAGAGGAGGAAGAAAGGCCCATCTGAGTTAGTTTTTTTTCCAGTTAAAATAATGGGTATTTTGTGGTTTTAAATAATGCTGTTGATCTTTTCAACTATTTGGTGACTGGCATTTGGCTACTGGGATTATTTTTAAGGAAGAGCACTTTCTCTCTCTCTCTCTCTTTCTCTCTCTTTCTTTTTTTTTTAAATTTGAGATGGAGTCCTGCTCTGTCACCCAGGCTGGAGTGCAGTGGCACAGTCTCAGCTCACTGCAACCTCCACCTCCAGGATTCAAGCAATTCTCTGCCTTAGCCTCGTGAATAGCTGGGATTACAGTCACCCAACACCACGCCTGGCTAATTTTTGTATTTTTAGTAGAAATGGGGTTTCACCATCTTGTCCAGGCTGGTCTTGAACTCCTGACCGTGTGATCCACTCACCTCGGCCTCCCAAAATGCTGGGATTACAGGAGTAAACCACCTCACCTGGCCAGGAGGAACATTTACTTAACATAGTTGAGGCAGTTTCCGTATTGACTATTGCACTCTCAACAAATGAATAGATACTTTGAAAGTGTTTTAGAGATAGTTTATTTTCTACAGGGCTCAAAAGGTTCACTGTCATGTCTCTGATAGCACCGGGGATGAATTTTCATGGATTTGTATCTGTAGGAAGATTTACTTTCCAAATCGTAACTGATTTAGTATTTGTCAAGCTCTTATTGAACTCCTTAATTTCTGCCACATTCTGTGCTCAGCAGCTGCAGGTAGGAGAGAAGGGGCCCTCCTTCCCCTGGAGAGGCTCACTTTCTCATGAGGGGGATGCTCTGCAGGCAATTGTATCATGTAACACACGGTGAATTACACTGATGAATACACAAAACCAGAAACGTTTTGTGGTGTGGCTGCAGGGAAAGGGATCCCAGAAGGTGGATGAGGTCAAGCTTGCTGGGACAACGGGGAAAGGAATAAATATTCCAGACAGAAAGCAGCACGAGTGAGGCAGGAATGTGCCATAATGTGCATCAAATAAACAATCAAATCAATTAACCTTTGAAATGAACGCAGAGTATTCTCAGAAGTTCTCATTTGAGTAGTGTAATAGCAGTCTTATGTAAACATGACGTGAAAGTTAAATTCCCAATGTTGTTTTCATCATCTGATTTTTGGATGTGAGAGAGTCTTAAAGCAGTACTTTTTCCATCCTCCCACAAGGAAACGGGCCCAGGGAGACCTATGGCCCTCACTTGTTTGCTGACTGAGCGGCTCTGGCACACACAGTCTCTGACTCTGACACACTGGTTCCATCGCACTCTCTCTTGAATGCACACACTTAGGATTAGTAACTTAGTAAATGTACTATTAGGTCTTCATTTACCGCAATCAAATGCTCTTGTGTCAATATTATTTAATATATGACATTTTGTTGTAGTTAATGAATAACAGAAACAGAAAATCTCAGTGCTTTTTACTGCATAAGAAAAAAACATGAAATCCCATTTTAAATGTTTCCCATTATTTATAAAGGGAATTTATAATAGAGGCTTGCCAGGTTTGATGATCAGTGTCATATCAGCATTTTATAACCCATTTCTCAAACATCATCTGTGAAAGTTAAGAGCCTCCAATGAGTTTCCCATAGAGCTGCACATGATACCACACTCAGGCAGGTCACGGGGTATTACAAATACCTTAATGCTTTATTGTTTGACATTTTGACAAAGGGAAAAAACCCACACATTTGTAAGTTCAGCCTACTGTGATATTTTTCTCTATCTTCCTTTTTCTTCAGATACCTCCTTGGCGTCTTGATAGAAAATACAGCTCGTGTTCCACCATATTGCTAGATAACAGCACAGTCAGCGAGCCTGATCTCAGGCACACATTAGAAAGGTGAGTACAACGAGGCTGCCAAGGGCTGAGTGACACACCCCCTATGCTAAAAGCATCCCGGCCATCCGCTGTTATTTCAGCCATTTGGTTGCCCTTTTCAGCAAGCAGTTGAAGAAGTTGATGTCAATGATATATGGATTTTTCAGAGCCTAAGTATGAATTTTCTTTCTCTTTTAATCTTAGACACTGCGTGGTAAAAGGGAAAGCCAGTTAGCAAATAAGCAATCCCAGAAACAGCATGGCTATTTATTTGATACATTTATGTTATGGCAGTATTGAACCTAATGGACAGGAGAGGTGCTTTTTATTGGATGTTTCTAGGAAAAATTATTAGTTCTTTATGGGCCATAGGCCTAAGACGATGGGCACTACTTTGGAAACTACTCTTGGAAGAAGGAAGAGCTTGTCCTCCAGTGGCACCATAGTGTATCTGCATTTAAATTTTCCCACCATGCACCAGCACTTCATAGGCCACAATCAGAGATGCCCTTTCAAAACCCCCTTGAAAGACGGGTTCAAGTTGGTTTAAAAAGCCAGCTCCAATGGAGATGTCCAGGAAACATTATTAACATCTTCTTCGATTATGAGTGTTGATTTTCAGAAAACAGTTTGACAAGTGGTACCTCAGAATGTTAGTCTCCTTATCCCTAACTTGACTTTCCAGTCTATAAACATGACTAAGTTACAAGATTTTGTCTCTAATGTACTAGTTTTTAAGCTAATTTGTTAGTAACTTCTACTTTAATCAAAAATGGCCGTTTATACTCATAATAATGTGACTTTCCTCTCTCATGTATAACAATAATTGAGATCCAATTGTGTTTCAGCAAGAACTGGACTCCACCTGTGTCTAAAGCCCGGAGCTTTGACCTCTATGGTGTCATCACTTAATGTTTGTATTCAGTCCTACGTAAAAAGCCACCCTTTTTTGGATAGAGTCCCTGGCTTCTTCTGATTTCAAAAGATTCTAATATTTCAGTATACACTTCAAAAATAGTTTTTAAGCTTACCCTTGTTCAAACAAGTAAAAGTCCTGCTTTTTCTTCCAGCGTAGTCTAAATTTTACAAGTTTTTAAAAAAATTGAAATAGATATATTTTCGTTTTTGGAGAGGGGTTTTGCTGTGTTGGCCAGGCTGGATTCAAACTCCTGCGCTTAAGCAATACACTCAAGTCAGCTCCCAAAATGCTGTGATTACAGGCATAAGCTACCATGCCTGGACTAGAAGTCTATTTTGGAAGCACAGTAAGTTTTAATTTACTCTCCAGTTTTATAGGGCATTATTTGGTATATTTGCTTTTAATGAAATAAAGGTTTACTGAGCAAGTTAATATAGCAAATTGGCTTTTAGGAAAGATTTTGAAAAATGTATTTCATGGTTAGTAGAGCGTTGTTCTCAATGGAAGAAGTGAGCCGTATTAGAATCACTTATACTGTTTGTTCAAAATATATGTCTGCAAACACATGCATCTTCCCAGCTCCACCTTCCCTCCATCTCTGGGCACTCACAAGCCTTTTAGGCAAATGGGGAAGTATGTGAGACATCATTATAGGGATAAAAGCATCCCAGATGATTCTGATCTTAACCCTAATTCAGTCATTCCCAAACTTTGCTGCACATTGGAATCACCTGGGGAACTTTACCAACAACTGATGCCCAAAGCATGTCCAACGCCAATTAAATCAGAATGTCTCCAGCTGACATTGAGGCCCTGTGTAAAGCTCCCCGGGTGATCCAGTGTGCAGCAAATGTGGAGGCCACTGCTTCCTTTGTGTGAAAAAGTGATGGTTCTAATATAAAAATTACGTGTTTACCCTGTTATTTGCTCTTCTTTCTACCCACAGGGCCTTTCCTCTGTGTGAGTCATTTCTATCTATGTGTGCATATGCTTCAATTTATACCATGCCATAGTGTTTTGTGAACACCTCCCGTTCACAGGAACACTGTTCAGGGACCTTGGGCAAATCAGTTTTAAGCCTTGGTTCTCTTAATTGTAAAATGGGTGGTGCATGGAGTGTCATGTGAGGTTCGGTGGTCCTTGTCAGCATGTAACTTCAAATTCTGTGATCTTAAAATTTGGAGATGAAACTGTTGGAAGCACTATAGAAATATATATCTTAGATGCTAATAACGTTGTAAGGCCTACCTTTTACAACTCCAATTTGCTTTCTCAAATTATTCTGAGTCTCATTTTAAATGTTGAGGGTGAATGGAAGGACAGAACTTATCAAAGAGAAGCCCCTGTTTCCTGACACACAACATCTGTGGATGACTTTGGAACACAGTAACATACATCTGAAGAGTTGTATTTGTTCATTCATATTTTGTTTAAACTAACGTGGAAGTACCTGTCATTAATATTGTATGATGTGGTGTTACACTGTGTGTTTAGTACTGCTTATTTTAGGAGAGTTAGAAGTGTCATCGATTTTTGGATGCATTATAATGTTTACTAATGAATTTTCTGCCAGTCATGCATAGGTGATTTTAAATTACTTTATTTGGTATAAAGCACATTCATTCTGCACTTTTAGGGAAATAATGACAAATGGGTGAGTAGGTGATGGTGAACTAAATCAGCCGCAATGCAGGGCGTAGCCACTTAAAAAGCAAAACACTACTGTCTGGCCTAAATGTAAGCATATGTACACATAGATATAAGTAACTTGCACAGAATGAAAGGTTCTACAGGCAGAAGAGCAAATGTCAGGGAAAGTATGTCATTATTTATACATAATAACCATCTGCAGACACAAGTCTTCTAACAGCATATTGCCTAGCATTTTGATTCTCCTATTTTTGCTGTAAAGCCAGAGGACTAAAACAAAAGTGCTCACATGGTACTGTTTTGAATAGAGGATTTCAGGGCCGCTGAGAGATTTACCTCCCCCCCCCCTTTGGAAATATATCTTCAGGCCTAACAAATGATAAAATCAGTTCTTACAACACTTTTTTTCCCTCCACAATGTGACTTTGGCAATATATTACAACATAAAGCACAGGTGAGCTCTTTGAAACCTGTCTTGTTATGTCAGCTCATCACTTTGTGTCATATGAAACATGCTGTCAGGTCACAACTCCAGACATTATAAGCTATAGAGTGTTTATTTTACAGTGTTACAGTGAATCATTTGTGGGTTTTCTGGTCCGTTAGACTCTTTTAAATTATTAAGCGTTCCAAAGTGTATTTGTTTATGTCTTTGTTTGCAATTTATTTTTAAAGAAGCAGTGAAAAGATGCCCTAGCCTCACACAAATATATGGTAGGAAAAAGGCGTATTTTTAAAGCTTTCAGGTAACTGTGGGTATTCTTTAACCCCACCAAACTCCAGAAGTGCTAACTGATTAAAATAGTTATAGCGGGATTGTACATATCAATGAATTTGTTCACTAAAAGTCACTGATCTTTCTTGTACAATAAATGGATCTTTGCCCTTACTGGCTTTTACAATATTATGCATTGGCTACTTGGCTTATTTATAGTGTCAAAAACTCACTTTCATTAATATCACCACCATTATAAAAATGTCTTCAAATATGGAGATGCTGTCGAGCTCACAGTAGTAGGTAGGAGTTTTCAAAGTCCTGATTTTTAGCTTGAAAGTTTTAGCTTTATTATAGACAAATACCTGTTATTTTCCTTGAAATGACGGACTCACTTGACTTAATTTTATGGATAATAGTCAGTTATACTTTCAGATAAAAATGGCGTTCTGTGAAAAATTGGCTTGTTCAGCTCACAATTTAATCACAAGTGCTTTTCTTTAACATGACCATACTCCAGTATGCAGAAGCACTTTATGTGAACTTTCTACTTAGAATACTAAAAAGAGAGGTCAAGATTTAATAACACCATTAATTTTTACTCTTTCATCAAGGATGTTCTTCAGGGAAACATGCTAGTTTAATAAAAACTGCAAGGGGCAGTGAAGAGTGGAATGAATACTGGTATAATTGGTACCACTGCCCTTATTCATACTGAGAAACCACCAGTTTTACCCACTTTTGCTTTTAAACAGTCATGACAAGTGTTGAGCAGGGAGAAAGCAATCAATGTCTTAATACTTTTAAGAAGTAATAAATTATTTGTGTGTTTTATTTTCAATCAGCTTCTCAGGTTGAATTAGGATTCTTGTAAGAACAGTTTGGGCCATACATGGTGGTTGACACCTGTAATCCCAGCACTTTGGGAGGCCAAGGTGGGAGAATTACTTTGAATCAGGTGTTTGAGATCAGCCTGGGCAATGTGGCAAGACCCCATCTATCAAAAAAAAAAAAGATCGGCTGGGCATGGTGGTGTAGACATTTTGTCCCAGCTACTTGGGAGGCTGAGGCAGGAGGATTGCGTGAGCCCACGAAGTCAAGCCTGCAGTGAGTCAGGTTTGTACCACTGTGCTCCATCCTGGGTGAAAGAGCAAAACCCTGTAACAACAACAACAACAACAACAACAACAACAACAACAAGTTTCGACATCCTGGGTCTCCGAGGGAATCTCAGGCGTCCACAAACCACATTGGGAGAACCACTGGTTTCCTAAATGATCACA